AAATAACTATTGACCATGCCAAAAGAGTTGAAAAGGAAAGTTTTGAGTGAGGAAAAGAAGGGTTCAATTCTGGCTTTACTGGCAGAGGGATACAGTGAGCGTCAGGTTGCTTCCATCCTTAAAATGTCAAAGACGGCGGTTCATAAGAACAAGGTCAAGCAGCAGACATTGGGGACAACAAAGCTACAGACTGGCAGAGGGTGAAAAAACGACTCTCTACTGACCGGGATGACCGCCAGCTCATTCGAATGTCACTCAACAACCGTAGGATGACATCAAGTGACCTTCAAACAGAATGGCAAACGGCAGCTGGGGTGAAGTGCACGGCGAGGACGGTTCGAAACAGGCTCCTAGGGGCAGGGCTGAAGTCGTGCAAAGCTAGAAAAAAGCCCTTCATCAATGAGAAGCAAAGAAGAGCCAGGCTGAGGTTTGCAAAAGACCATAAGGATTGGACCGTAGAGGATTGGAGTAAGGTAATCTTCTCTGATGAGTCCAATTTTCAGCTTTGCCCAACACCTGGTCGTCTAATGGTTAGACTGAGACCTGGAGAGGCCTACAAGCCACAGTGTCTCACACCCACAGTGACATTTCGTGGAGGATCGGTGATGATCTGGGGGTGCTTCAGCAAGGCTGGAATCGGGCAGATTTGTCTTTATGAAGGATGCATGAATCAAGCCACGTACAAGGTTGTCCGGGAAGAAAACGTGCTTCCTTTTGCTCTGACATTGTTGCCCAGCTCTGAGGATTGGTTTTTCCAGCAGGACAATGTGCCATGCCACACAGCCAGGTCAATCAAGGTGTGGATGGAAGACCACCAGATCAAGACCCTGTCATGGCCAGCCCAATCTCCAGACCTGAACCCCATTGAATACTTCTGGAATGTGATCAAGAGGAAGATGGATGGTCACAAGCCATCAAACAAAGCCGAGCTGCTTGAAGTTTTGCGCCAGGAGCAGCATTAAGTCACCCAACATCAATGTGAAAGACTGGTGGAGAGCATGCCAAGACGCATGAAAGCTGTGATTGAAAATCAGGGTTATTCCACAAAATATTGATTTCTGAACTCTTCCTTAGTTAGAACATTAGTGTTGTTTAAAAATGAACATTAACTTATTTTCTTTGCATTATTCGAGGTCTGACAACACTGCATCTTTTTTGTTATTTTGACCAGTTGTCATTTTCTGCAAATAAATGCGCTAAATGACAATATTTGAAATTTGGGAGAAATGTTGTCAGTAGTTTATAGAATAAAACTAAAAAGTTATTTTTACCGAAACACATACCTATAAATAGTAAAACCAGAGAAAGTGATAATTTTGCAGTGGTCTCTTAATTTTTTCCGCAGCTTTGTGTATGTGTATATATATGGATTACATGTTAGGGTTCCTAAAGGCAGTAGATTTGCATAGTTGCATGTGAGGTAAAAGGTTGGGAACATGGTTAAATAGGTCGTTTCACTAAAGTAATGCATGCGCTAAACATATTTGTGCATAGAAGTGTGTCTGTGGATTGCTCAAGAAGGTGATTGAGTCTCCCCAAATCCTTGCCAACAATTTTTAACCAATCACAGAGGGTTCTATGACGAACTTCCTGCTTACGTTTGTCTCTCCTCATTAAACTGTTGGACATGGACTTGAAAGGCTGAGACATGGCTTGAAAGTACGCGGTTGTCACAATAATGGAATAGCTAATGTGGTATGTGGAAGTTCAGAACGTATATAGTGTAAGTAGGGGTTGATTTTGTAGTAGACTGTGTCTCAAGGACGTGGAAAGAGGAAGACAAACTCGAGTATCGAGAAGGGGACTCGATTAATTGTTAGCTAACGTTACGGATAGATTAAAATGGATAGCAAATATGTCTTGACTACAAAATACGTGTTATCGACATATCCACTGCAGCACACGATTTTCAGGCCTCGTCCAGTTGAATATGTTTCAGCTAGTTCCGTAATCTAAACCCCATCCGACAGCTACGGCAAAAGGTGAGACAATTCACCCAATACCGCATTCTAATTTAGTAAAAGGATTATGGACGTTCCACTTTGGAATTTGAACAAATTACTTGGGTTCCTCGCTGCGCAACTCGAATGTCAGCAAATGTTTGTCTAGTAATCTGACGTGTGTCACAATTTTTACTACTTCAGTTTTTCTTTTCACGTTCAACAGGGGGATATTTTCTCGATTGAAGGGAATATATGGGATCGCAAGGTAACTATCAAATAAATAATATTTATTTATAATTGTTTCATATGACTGTCAGAGGTCAAATGTTGCTCACAGCCAAACATATTGATAGAAGATCGGATTGAGCTAGGCGCAGTTTCCTTTGTTTACTCAGTCTGCATTTCAGAACAGCTGATACGTCCCCTTTCAGCAGTGCCGCGATAGCTACTGCAAGCCAGCCTGTTGTAGCTTTGACGTGTCCTGCCTCCTGCGACCCTGACACCAAACATATGAGCTCAAGCGGAATGATAGCACTCGCTCCAACAAACATGTTTCACAGTTGTTACTTTGTAGTGGTTTGCGACTAGCGATATTCGAACGTTCTGTCTGTATTGCGTCGCAGTGCATACACCTTGCTTCCCCGAATCATTTCGCGCGAGCTCTCGTTGCCTTACGCAACATACCGGTAGGCCGAGTAGCAACGATGTACCAGCAGAAATAAGTGATTTTATCGGTTTATAGTTCAAAGAACATCCACAATTCAATGTTTTAACCTGGCTGTATGCTTTTTTGTTGTTGTAACAGTCCATAAGAGCACTGAATGGAAACTATATAGTCTAGTCGTGGTGTTCTCATATCTCATTACTTTGTCATGATTGTCATGGTAGGCTAGTAAACTCATACTGCATTGTTACACTGGTATGGTTCAGATTTAGGTAAAGATTAAGGAAGGAGTCAATTACATTATGTTCATTTCAAGTTTTATTAACTGAAATTGGAGTCATTTCAGAATGAGATTAGCCAAACTCCCTATTTATGTCCATTTTAAAGGTTATTTCTGATGTTGCCTATTAAGGTCAGTATTTCACTTGACATGTTATTGCCTTCAACACAAGCCACTATTGATTATGAGGTGTCTGTATGACACTGTCTCTCTCGATCTGTCCTCTGTGTCTCCTGTGCAGTTTCATTTTAGCTCAGATTTTCAAACACTTTTATACAGATCAGAGTGTATTGGGATTGCCTGAAACGAGAGGATGAAACACATTAGAAACTGTTAGTCCTGTATGGCTCAGTTAGTAGAGTGGCTCGTGCAAAGCCAGGATTATGGGTTCGATTCCCGGGGCCAACCATACTTAAAAATGTATGCAAGTCACTTTGGATAAATGGCATATGATGCAAATGTAAACAATTGCAATCACTGCATTATGTGACAGACTCTCTCCCTGTCTTGTGACTGTTTACAGTACAGTTTCATTCCGGTGTAATACGATTAGAATGATATATTTTCCTTTTATGGCTTGAATATGTGTCTAACAGTGGAGGCTCCTCCGAGAAGGAAGGGGAGGACCATCCTCCTCAGTGAAACATTAAAAAAGTTATACTTTTTAGATAAAACTATACTAAATATATTCACATTTCACCAAATAATGTATTAAAACACACTGTTTTGCAATGGTCTACAGTAGCTTCAACAGCACTCTGTATGGTAGCACCCTGGTGTAGCCAGAGGACAGCTAGTTTCCGTCCTCCTCTGGGTACATTGACTTCAATACAAAACGTAGGAGGCTCATGGTTCTCAACCCCTTCCATAGACTTGCACAGTAATTATGACAACTTCCGGAGGACGTCCTCCAACCTATCAGAGTTCTTGCAGCATGAACAGACATGTTGTTTACCCAGTCAAAGGATCAGAGTTTAAATCTAGTTCTAAAAGCATAAGCTACAGCTAGCTAGCACTGCAGTGCATAAAATGTGGTGAGTACTTGTCTCAAAGAGAGAGAAAGACAATAGTTTAACAGTTTTGAACAAATACATTTCTTAAAAGATGAATGAGAGAGAGCTATATTTCTTATTTTTTTCACTTAGCTAGCGAATGCAGCGAGATAGGTTAGCCTACACAAACACCCGGCTCAAACAGAGGGGGATGCTATGTTAGCTGTCTGGCTATGGCTATCCAACACTGGAACTCTTCCAAGTCAAGGTAAGCGTTTGGTTTTATTAATTTATTGCCACCGGGGCCCGCCGTTGTAACTGCTAAACTGCTTGCTGACTGCATGATTGTAGCGGGTTTACTAATGCGTTAGTTCTGGTAGCTATGTTGACTATGACATTAGCTAATATGGTGACGACGATGTAGGCTGTGTGTAGCGGTTATGTTATGAAGGTTTGGCTTGGAACATTTTTTTTTGCCTGGTCACAGACAGCTGATGTTGTGCACTGAAGTCCACAAGCGAAGGGAAATGGAGGAGAGCGCGTTCATGCGAGAAATAATTATACGAGCAAAATGATCATGCTGTTTGTATGTGGCTGCTATGAAAGTGAACTGTTTTTGTGCGTGATTCATTCCACCGATTCTGTTAAACCGTTTCTTAAACGGAAGCAAACTGAACAGAACTTGAATAAACATACCTGAATTTGTCCAATAGAAACTCTCGTTTGCAACTGTTGAACTAATGATTACACCCTAGATCAGCTAGATGCAGGCAAGAGTCTGCAAGGCGGTATTGAATGTCACTGTCTGTCAGCTTGATTGCTCAAAATGTTCTCTGGACCTGTGCACCTACGTTATAGACTTTCATTCATAGGCTAGGTTGTAGCAGCCTCATGATGGGTATAGGGACAGTTGAAGTATCATGTAGTAGGTTAAACCTATCGATGTTACATTGAGCTGGGTGAATGGAATATGAATGACAGTCATCCAATATGATGTAATAGAAATAAGGCCATGCTCACATAAAACAATAATCGTCCTCCCTCATCTTAAACGTCACCGACCACCACTGGTGTCTAATGGTTTCTCTCTTGTGTTTCCCTATGTAGTTTCATTGGATGAAATGAGTGTGCGCGCGGGGCAGGGTAGCGACGAGGTGCTTGTGTCCCAGGCAGTGTGGGACTACTTGGCCGCCGCCGGCCGGCCCTGGCTCATAGACTTCCAGGACAAGCAGGGCCTCATCGCCGGCATCATCCGCAGAGGGGAGCGGGGAGGCTGCTGCGCAGTGCGGCTACGCCCCGTAGAGGGCTCCCGTTCTGGGGGAGGACCTGGGATGATGGAGGGGGGACCGATCTCCAATGAGACCCTTAAGTCCTTCATAGACTTATGCCGCTGCGCCCGGAAAGAGATGAGCAAACAGGAGACGGGTCCTAAGTGGAAGAGGTCTGTGCTGCCCTGTGTTGGGGTGGGGGTCCTGGAGGGGGATGGAGAGGGGAGCCTGCTACCACCTCAGCCTCCCCAGCCCAGACGCTCTCAGAGGCAGCAACAGAGGTATAGGAAGCCTGCGGAGGATGAGGCCTGTGTGGTCCTCTCCAACTCTATGAACTGCATGTCCCACGATGCATCAGGACAGAGGAAGCAGGACAACATGGAAGTCAAGTGCAGTATGATGGCATCCTCTCATAGCCACTCCCACAGTGAAGCAGACGACCACACCTCATGTTCCATCTGCATGGGCGACATGGTGGAGAGGACGACACTGGAGAGGTATAGCTACGTATTTCAAGTTTTAATGTCACATGCACAAGTACAGTGAAATTCCTTTCTTGCAAGCTCTAACCCCAACAATGCTGTAATCAATAACAATGTAATACTACAAATAACAAGGTAGAACAAAAACACACAAGCTACAGAAATAAGAAATAAGAAGAACACAATAAAGTAAGTAAGCATACTATATACAGGGTCAGTTCCAGTACCATATTTACAATGCGCAGGGATACTGGATCGATAGAGGTAGATATTTATTGGGCTAAGGTGACTAGGCATCAGGATAAATGATAAACAGTAGCAGCAGCATATTTGATGTGAGTGGGTGTGTGTAGAGTCAGTATAAATGTATGTGCATATGTGTGTGTGAGCAAATGAAGGAGTGAGTGTTTGTATGTGGGTTGGAGTATCAGAGTGTGTAGGGCCCTGTGAGTGTGCATAGAGACCGTGCAAAAATAAGAATTAAACACTAAGGTCAACTCAGTCCGTGTAGACATTTAGCAGTTTTATGGCATTGGGATAGAAGCTGTTCAGGAGCCTGTTGGTGTCAGAATTGATGCACCGGTACCGCTTGCCGTGGTGTTGAATAATTATTGTGATTTTTCCAAATGATGAAATGTGTACCCTTCAAATTAGTGGATTCGGCTATTTCCGCCACACCCGTTGTTGACAGGTGTATAAAATCGAGGACACAGCCATGCAATCTCCAACAAACATTGGCAGTAGAATGGCCCGTACTGAATAGCTCAGTGACTGTCAACGTGGCACCGTCATAGGATGCCACCTTTCCAAAAGTCAGTTCATCAAATTTCTGCCCTGCTAGAGCTGCCCGGTCAACTGTAAGTGCTGCTATTGTGAAGTGGAAACGTCTAGAAGCAACAACGGCCCAGCCGCGAAGTGGTAGGCCACACAAGCTCACAGAACGGGACTGCCGAGTGCTGAAGCACGTAAAAATCATCTGTCCCCAGTTGCAACACTCACTACCGAGTTCCAAACTGCCTCTGGAAGCAATGTCAGCACAATAACTGTTCGTTGGGAGCTTTATGGATGCCAGGAAATTGCTACCTGCCCGAATGCATAGTGCCAACTGTAAAGTTTGGTGGAGGAGGAATAATGGTCTGGAGCTGTTTTTCATGGTTCGTTCCAGTGATGGGAAATCTTAACGATTCTGTGTTTCCAACTTTGTGGCAACAATTTGAGGAAGGCCCTTTCCTGTTTCAGCATGACAATGCCCCCATGCACAAAGCAAGATCTTGACTGGAAGAACTTGACTGGCCTGCACAGAGACCTGACCTCAATCCCATCAAACATCTTTGGGATGAATTGGAACGCCGCCTGCGAGCCAGGCCTAATCGCACGACCTCACTAATGCTCTTGTGGCTGAATGGAAGCAAGTCCCTGCAGCAATGTTCCAACATCTAGTGAAAAGCCTTCCCAGAAGAGTGGAGGCTATTATAGCAGCAAAGGGGGGACCAACTCCATATTAATGCCAATGATTTTAGAATGAGATGTTCGACGAGCAGGTGTCCACATACTCTTGGCCATGTAGTGTATGTAATGTTTTCAAAATTGTAAGTAAAATCTCTCTCTCTCACTCCATCCCAAGGTGTGGCCACGCATTCTGCCGTACATGTCTGGACCAGGCCTTCAAGGTGAAGAGAGCGTGTCCGGTGTGTCGTCTGGTGTACGGCCAGCTCATAGGCAATCAGCCGGCTACTGGGAGTATGATGGTGGAGAGGGACCCAGATCTCGAGTTGCCGGGACATGAGGGCTACGGGTGTATCTGCATCATCTACAGCTTCCCACCTGGTCTACAGGCGGTGAGTGTGTATATATGACAAAAGAAACACGTTTATGAGAAAAACCACAAGGAGGTGTATGTACAGAAATGGGAACTAGTAAGAAGTTTTGTTCTAGTCCACTTCCAGGGCTTTGCTGTCTCTGACGCAGCATTTACATTGCTAACTTATCTCTTTAGTAGTATTCCGTTTTATATAACATTTTTATTACTGATGAATACTTCATGGACTCACAAACCACCCTTCAAATCGAAGTTTATTGGTCGCATACACAGATTTGCAGGTGTTATGGCAGATGCAGTGTTACTAGCTCCAACAGTGCATTAGAATGTCTCAAATACAAAACAAATAATTTTAAAAATCTAAACAAGAAATCACAATCCAAGTAGATATATTAGAGTGAGCATGTGTGAGAATCCAGAATATAAATATGTGGTGTGCATAGACGGTATATAATTTGGAAAAGAAAATGGTATGTACAGTAATAGGCATATTATGATGAGATATGTCGAATATAGTATATACATACACAGTGAGTAAACAACCGTATATGAGGGTATTTCTATATACTACGGTACCAGTGAGGATTTCCTGCACTGGACTTGTTACGGCTGTTGATAAGTCATTGATAATAATCTGCCTATTGTATTCATGTCATTACATTAAGATATAAGGGGGGATCATAGTCAATACAATTCACAAGTTGATGTTTAACCCTCTTGATGTATTTCTCCAAAATTGTGTGACATAAAACAACTTTACTGTCCTAGAATTTATGGCAGTGTAAGTTGACGTTATATCATATATTAAGCATTAATCAGTTTAACTAGACATTGAATTTGAACCCTGTAAGATTCCTGGATCTAGCTGTTGGGCAGTTGTTGGTATAGAGATCTCAAATGCAGTGTGCCAAAATAACATTTAGTGTCTCCTTATGTTACGGGGTGAAAACAGTTTTCATGGGCACACAAATCCAAAAGAATGTATGCATTGCAAAATCAAATGCTTCTAACCTAAATAGTCACCTTATCGTGATACTTAAAACCTAAATCAATACTGTCATTTAACGTGCTTCTTCAATAATTATGCATAATACTTGTTGGATGCACATTTGGTGTCCAGCTGATTTAGTAATGCCGTGATATTTTCACACCATCATCTGATCCAGGAAGGAATTTTCCGAATGTGAGTGAAGTGATGAACAGCTGTTCTGATGGCGCATGCGACGCGACAACGGCCCAAGTGCTGGAAAAAAGGTGTTTGCGAGGAGTGTCCAGAATATTTTGGTGTCTCATTCGTTATGCCGGTGAAGAAAAAAAAAAAGTATTTGATCCCCTGCTGATTTTGTACGTTTGCCCACTGACAAAGACATGATCAGTCTATAATTTTAATGGTAGGTTTATTTGAACAGTGAGAGACAGAATAACAACAAAAAAATCCAGAAAAATGTCAAATGCATTTTAATGAGGGAAATAAGTATTTGACCCTTCTGCAAAACATGACTTAGTACTTGGTGGCAAAACCCTTGTTGGCAATCACAGAGGTCAGACGTTTCTTGTAGTTGGCCACCAGGTTTGCACACATCTCAGGAGGGATTTTTTCCCACTCCTCTTTGCAGATCTTCTCCAAGTCATTAAGGTTTCGATGCTGATGTTTGGCAACTCGAACCTTCAGCTCCCTCCACAGATGTTCTATGGTATTAAGGTCTGGAGACTGGCTAGGCCACTCCAGGACCTTAATGTGCTGAGGGAAGGAGGTTCTCACCCAAGATTTGACGGTACATGGCCCCGTCCATCGTCCCTTTGATGCGGTGAAGTTGTCCTGTCCCCATAGCAGTTGATGCCAAAGAGTTGAGTTGATGCCAAAGAGCTCCATTTTGGTCTCATCTGACCACAACACTTTCACCCAGTTCTCCTCTGAATCATTCAGATGTTCAATGGCAAACTTCAGACAGGTCTGTATATGTGCTTTCTTGAGCAAGGGGACATTGCGGGCGCTGCAGGATTTCAGTCCTTCACGGCGTAGTGTGTTACCAATTGTTTTCTTGGTGACTATGGTCCCAGCTGCCTTGAGATCATTGACAAGATCCTCCCGTGTAGTTCTGGGCTGATTCCTCACCGTTCTCAAGAGTGGGCTCCTAATCTCAGCTCGTTACCTGTATAAAAGACACCCGGGAGCCAGAAATCTTTCTGATCTTTCAATTTATAACATTTTTGACATGTGTTTTTCTGGATTTTTTTTGTTATTCTGTCTCTCACTGTTCAAATAAACCTACCATTAAAATTATAGACTGATCATGTCTTTGTCAGTGGGCAAACGTACAAAATCAGCAGGGGATCAAATACTTTTTTCCCTCAATGTATATCATATTGTTCCTGTTCTTTTCTAACATTCCTCTGAATTCTGCCTGGGTCCTGAAGCCGGAGCACCCTAACCCTGGTGTAAGCTACCCGGGTACGGACCGCGTGGCGTACCTTCCAGACACCTCAGAGGGGAACCGGGTCCTGGGCCTGCTCCGCCGGGCCTTCGAGCAGCGCCTCATCTTCACTATAGGGACCTCCATGACCACGGGAATGCATAATGTCATTACCTGGAACGACATCCACCACAAGACCTCCATATGGGGCGGACCACGCTGGTATGGAAATGCCTGTATTTACTGAAGGCTAATGGAGATTTTAGTATGTTTGTGAGATGTGACAAAGCAATGTTTACATTTGTTTAAAAAAGCTATCTATGAACGCTCACAAGGTATTTATTTATTTATTTATTTATATGTATTACACACATACAAGTCACATAGAATCACATGGCTTTGACAGAAAAAGAAAGCTATCCATGTTTTGAGCATGTGGTGAGAGGTTAAATTATGATTTCTGAAGGCACTCTAGCTGTTCCTGCGATTACAACTCTCAATGACATGCTAATGGTGTTTTTCTTTAATTTCCCCTGACAGCTTTGGCTACCCAGACCCCACTTACCTGGTGAGAGTGACTGAGGAACTCCGAGAGAAAGGCATCACTGCAGACTGACCGTCCAGATTCTAGAATGTTCCATTCTAGGAACACTAGGAAATCTAGGAACCTCTAGCTATCCTGTCCCGCTGCTGGTGGTTGCAGGCTCCAGGACCTAGACCCAGCAGGGCAGCGGATGGATACGAGAGGTGTGACGGGGTCCGGCTCCACAGCAGCCACAAGAGTGGAGGCCCCCATATCTCTCCAAGACCTCTTTATGGTTCAAATCCTAACTTCCACTTAAGTTGAATTTTCACTTAATCATGCACTGATGTCAATGGGAGACCATTCGACTTAATTGGAAGTGAAAATGTGTCTTAAGTGGAATTTAGGATTCACCCTTGTTCCTATGTTAGGTATGTATCTTCTGAGTTCTGCTCAATCCAGCAGGACTTTGTGTGCAAGAAAACACAAGTGAGAGCAGTGCATTCTCTGTGTGACACAATCCTCTACCTTTCACTTTTGTTGAGAATAGCAGGACAGTTTTTGGCTGAACTCATCGGAGCAGTTATCATATAGTGCTTAATAAATTTCAAGTACTTACTACTTCAATATTATTTTGAAATATAAGTTTAAAGAGAAGTCTATGGTGTCTGATATGTTGATGTTTATTTCCATGCTGGGGCACACATGTTCTTTATTTACCTGTTGCAAGCGCACATTATTTGTGGTCTTTCCAGTACGTTCGTAGAATAATTTTTTTTTCTCTTCTTCTGTGATAAGCTGTTACTTACAGTTCGTATAAAGACCGTATCCGAGATAGTAGGTGGCAGGCAGAATAGCTCTGTCTGCTTCTAAATAAGTTAATTTCTCTAAAAGACGTTGCAATCTAAAGCACTCACAGGCACTTTGACAAAGGGAGTCAGTCAGTCAGTTGTTCAGTTCAGTGGATGGCTGGTTGTTCTCTGCATAACATTAGAATGATCATGGTTCTCTGCTTCCTTTTCAGGGAAGACTAGTATATGGAATAGTGCTCTGAGCAAATCAGGCAGGTGTTAGTCGTTAACAGCCCTGAAGCTAATAGCCTGGTAGCTGTAAGTTGATGTCAATTTGCTTAGAGCCCTTCATTTCCCTTTTGATCTTCCTCTCCTTTGATTTCTTCTCATTTTTACTTACGTAGGAAGAATGTTTTCTATTTGTGCTGGTCTAGGATCAGTGTGGCCTTTTTAAATCATTAGAATAAAAGAGGGACCCTGATCCTAGGTCAGCACTCGTACTCTGAGACGCTTTATGAATATGGGACCAGGTTTTGAACTGCTTGAGTTAGGTTCAGTTTGATGTCCAGTCAGTCAGTGGTCCTCATTTTCTAATGACCAGATTTACATGATGATGTCAAATGAGAAGGGCAAGATGTCGAACCACTTAAACCAAATCAAAGGCAGATTAGGGCTCTGTAATAATTACCTATGCCCCTGCCCCTGGCTGTGTCTGAAATGGCACTCTATTCCCTATATAGTGCACGAGTGCCAATAGGGGCCCATAGGGCTCTGGTCAAAAGTAGTGCACTATATACAGTGGGGAAAAAAAGTATTTAGTCAGCCACCAATTGTGCAAGTTCTCCCACTTAAAAAGATGAGAGGCCTGTAATTTTCATCATAGGTACACGTCAACTATGACAGACAAAATGAGGAAAAAAATCCAGAAAATCACATTGTAGGATTTTTTATGAATTTATTTGCAAATTATGGTGGAAAATAAGTATTTGGTCAATAACAAAAGTTTCTCAATACTTTGTTATATACTCTTTGTTGGCAATGACACAGGTCAAATGTTTTCTGTAAGTCTTCACAAGGTTTTCACACACTGTTGCTGGTATTTTGGCCCATTCCTCCATGCAGATCTCCTCTAGAGCAGTGATATTTTGGGGCTGTCGCTGGGCAACACGGATTTCAACTCCCTCCAAAGATTTTCTATGGGGTTGAGATCTGGAGACTGGCTAGGCCACTCCAGGACCTTGAAATGCTTCTTACGAAGCCACTCCTTCGTTGCCCGGGCGGTGTGTTTGGGATCATTGTCATGCTGAAAGACCCAGCCACGTTTCATCTTCAATGCCCTTGCAGATGGAAGGAGGTTTTCACTTAAAATCTCACGATACATGGCACCATTCATTCTTTCCTTTACACGGATCAGTCGTCCTGGTCCCTTTGCAGAAAAACAGCCCCAAAGCATGATGTTTCCACCCCAATGCTTCACAGTAGGTATGGTGTTCTTTGGATGCAACTCAGCATTCTTTGTCCTCCAAACACGACGAGTTGAGTTTTTACCAAAAAGTTCTATTTTGGTTTCATCTGACCATATGACATTCTCCCAATCCTCTTCTGGATCATCCAAATGCACTCTAGCAAACTTCAGACGGGCCTGGACATGTACTGGCTTAAGCAGGGGGACACGTCTGGCACTGCAGGATTTGAGTCCCTGGCGGCGTAGTATGTTACTGATGGTAGGCTTTGTTACTTTGGTCCCAGCTCTCTGCAGGTCATTCACAATTTTGTTTCTGGTGTCTTTTGACAGCTCTTTGGTCTTGGCCATAGTGGAGTTTGGAGTGTGACTGTTTGAGGTTGTGGACAGGTGTCTTTTATACTGATAACAAGTTCAAACAGGTGCCATCAATACAGGTAACGAGTGGAGGACAGAGAAACCTCTTAAAGAAGAAGTTACAGGTCTGTGAGAGCCAAAAATCTTGCTTGTTTGTAGGTGACCAAATACTTATTTTCCGCCATAATTTGCAAATAAATTCATTAAAAATCCTACAATGTGATTTTCTGGATTTTTTTTCCTCAATTTGTCTGTCATAATTGATGTGTACCTATGATGAAAATTACAGGCCTCTCATCTTTTTAAGTGGGAGAACTTGCACAATTGGTGGCTGACTAAATACTTTTTTCCCCCACTGTAGGACCCATAGGACTGGTTGAAAGTAGTGTACTGTCGGGAATAGGGTGCCCTGTCTGACCAGGAGACGTTGTTTGATGATTGTCTCATAGATACCTCATTATTTATGATTATTTATCTGCTGTAATTCACATTTGTCTTCTTAAGACATAATCTAGGATTAACAATAAGTACCTGTAATATCAAAATGTTAAGGAGAGTACTGCAGTCCCTTATAGGTGTATTGTCAGTGATGTATTTAGTTATATTTACATTTACACCTTGTTTTGATACATTTATCTCAATGTTAGCGTGCCTTTCTTCTATACAAGTTTGAAGAAAATGTAGCATGTTGATACTAATGAATGATAAGCAATTCTTTAGTGGACTGTATGAAATGTGTTATTTGGAGGGTCAGATGCAGCAGCATTACGTTTGTGCTTTCTCTGCCTTCCTACAGTTTTTGAGAATATAGAAACTGTGTATTTGATGTAACCTTTCTGTTATAAACAGTCGAAGTAGTCCAAAAACGTAGCCTCACTCTCATATGAACAAGTTATGTGTGTGATTTCAAAAAGTAACTTTTTGATGAGAAGAATATGCATATAGATAGTCTAGTCTGTGTTAACCTCTTTTTATTAATTTGTCTGCAGTCAGATGATGTGAAAGAATTTACTCGGACCATACATTAATTAAATATCCCTTGGCTACAACCCAAATGGCACCCTATTTATGATGGCAAAACTTGTGAACTATATAGGGAATAATGTGGTCAAAAGTAGTGCACTATATAGGGTGCCATTTGGGACGTAGTCTGTATTTTTCGTTTAGGGACCAACTCAAATATCTTTGGGAAACAGGAATAGTACTTTAAATCAAGGTACCATGCAAATATTTATATGCAGTAAACTATGTAAGTGAACTGGGGGTTGGGGTACCGGCAGGGGAATAAATACTGAAAAGGATTGTATTGCAAATTGATTGTGAAAAGTTAGTTTTGCTTTTCTAATTGTGTTGATTCATATTTTATGAGTCTGTTGATATTCAAAAATAGTGTGGTTTACATTTTAATACTTGAATAAAAGGTGATGTTCTGTTTGTGGTGGTGGTATTCATTGTTTATTACTGATTTAATATTATGTAAATAGCATCACATAGAACAAATCTGACATTTATGATCACGTTTTTCACATTTATGCGATATTATAGCAAGACTATTTTATTTGTGGATGTAACACATCTCAACCCTCATGAAGATATCCGATGCCTTGGTTCACACGTCAGTGCAAACTATTGAAGTGGGATGTTACTGTAGCCTTTACAGTTAGGTACATTGTAGCGTCTGCTGAACATTAGCAACCAGTGACGTATGGTAATGACTAGATGTGGGAGGCTCTACTCTTTCTGTCAACATAGCCCTCTTCCTGGAAAGTATAGTTCAGCTCAGGCTGGAGTTTGTCAGATGACATTGCGTTTTCCTGTTTCTGCTATAGATTAGCTATGTACAAAATGTCCTCAAACACTTAATCTATAATGACATCATCTCGATTCTCCAACATAGGCGATAGATGTACTTCTGCAACAGAGCAGAGACGCCGCGACGAGGAGAACTATTGCATAATATGCATGGACTGTTTTCAGAAAAAGATAACTTTAAGATGTTCTCACTCATTCTGTTCAAGTTGTATTGACTCGGTTTTCCAAATTAAGCCCGCATGTCCGGTATGTAATACTTTTCACGGGACCTACGAAGGAACGCAGCCCCGGGACGGGATCATGACAGTGAGACGCAACTGGCAGTGTTTACCTGGCTATGAGGAGGGGAATGGACATATCGCGATTGATTATCACTTTACAGCCGGAGTACAAGGGGTGAGATTTATTGTAGCCTATATTTACTTTATATGTGACGCAGATGGGCATATATTTTATCACAGAATTGAAAGTGTCAATCGACATTGTGCCACTATTGACTTGAAGATGAAAGGGCGATATGTATAGTCGGAGAGTAGGCAGAGATTCATCATATTGTTCTTGAAAGCCCTTATATGGAAGTATTGATGAATTGCTTTGGCATTACAGCCCTGCTGGTGATGTCATGCCAGACAGATTAGCTGCTGACTTCTTTATCACCTAAGGTTGAGTTTGATCCTCCATGAGTCCCTAATTATAAGTAGTAGGCTTCATCTTACCACCACCAGTCAGTTATTTGAAATAACATGATTAGGCCTACAGCCAGAGGAGAAGACTCCGCTCCACTTTTGAGTCTGGTTCCTTTTAGGGAGTTTTTCCTTGCCACTGTGGAAAAGGGTTTTATTGACACAGTTGATTGATTGATATTCCTCTTTCTCTCCACATCCCTCCAGCCTGAGCATCCGAACCCGGGTGAGAAGTACTCCAGCACGTCCAGGACAGCCTTTCTGCCAGCCTGTGAGGAGGGAGAGAAAGTACTGAGGCTGCTCCAGACAGCCTTCCACAGGAGGCTCATCTTCACCATCGGGACATCAGCCACCACCGGCCTCAACAACTCCATCACATGGAACGACATACACCACAAGACCAACATTGGGGGAGGACCACAGTTGTAAGTACTGTGCTCCCGTGTAGCTCAGTTGGTAGAGCATGGCGTTTGCAACGCCAGGGTTGTGGGTTCGTTTCCCACGGGGGACCAGTATGAAAAAGAAATGTATGCACTCACTAACTGTAAGTCGCTCTGGATAGGAGCGTCTGCTAAATGACTAAAATGTAAATGTAAGTAGGCCCATCTATCCTAGTCTGAGGAAATAGAATAAGAATACTCACACACTGTTTGAATGCTCTCGAAGTTTCATTGTAACATCTCTATGGTTGATGAAGACCCATATCAGTGATTGACAGTGTTATAACAGTGTTATTGAAATTCGAGAGCGTTCAAACATTGGCATGTTTTTGAAATGGTAGATCAATGTGACACTGAAGCTGTTGTGTCTCTCTCTTTTCTCTTTGTTAGTTTTGGGTATCCAGACCCGGGCTACCTCTCCAGGGTCCAGGAGGAGCTTCGTCTGAAGGGAGTGACAGAGGAGAGCTGATTCCACTTGAACTTCATGGAACCGTATAATTAGAATTACTAGAATGGAATAGAACGGACATTCAATGCTATTAGTTGAAATTCTATGCATATTGTCACACTCTGGAATCAAACACAAGACGAGAAGAGCAGTTACAGTGTTGGGGAAGCTACTCTGAAAATATAATTTACCAAGCTACCAATTCACACTAGAAGTTAAGCTACCCTTAAGAAAAATATAGTTTCCTTAATTAAAGTTACTTTGAAAAAGTAGTACACTACATCAAAACTACTTTGTGAAAAATGATCATATGTATATCTGAAATGTCATAGACTACAAATTGCAAGACTAGATCACTTTATGGTTCATATGTTAACAGAATGTGTAATTTGGCCTATTAAACACAAAAACTGAGAATTAGGCAAATCTGATGCCAGAAAATAAAGAAAATTATTGCCTACTTCGCCCATATTTTTTTTTATTTTTGCAAAAAAAGCAGTGTGTAGTTCCAGTAGTTAGCTACACCTCTTCATGGGAAAAAAAGTAATTAACTCCTGAAAACACTACCTAGATTTTAATTAAGTTCAACTACCACTAAGCTACTGTAAAATGTAGTTAAATTACTAGTTCAACTACATGTAGTTCAGTACTCCCCAACACTGAGCGGTTATGATTGTAGCCAACGATTCCCAAAGAGGCTGGTAACAGACGCACAAATATCATACCCCCAAGACATGCTATCATATCCTCTCACCATTACAATAACAGGGGAGGTTATTTTTTTTTGGGGGGGGGTGAGGGTATGATATTTGTGCATCTGTAACTTTCTCACTCATAATTATTCATGATTCATTCAGGATCATCCATGATCATGGTAGCATTACCACATTCATATAGAAGTGTTTAGAAACTTAAAAAAGTGACTTCAAAATGACACAATGCATTATTTACTATTAATTTCTATTGGACACAAAATAATCTGAAACACAACCAAAACAAAGAGCAAATGCATCCAACAAATTTGTAGTGTCACAAGCTTGATGTAGTCATTGCGTGCTAGGAATATGGGACCAAATACTACATTTTTTATTACTTTAATACACATATAAGTGAATTTGTCCCAAAATGGGGGGACTGTGTACAAAAAGTGCTGTAATTTCTAGACGGTTCACCCAATATGGATGAAAATGAACTCAAATTAAAGCTGTAGTCTGCACTTTAACCTCATAGTCATTGTTTGATTTCAAATCCAAACTTTTCAAGTATACAGCTAAAATAAGAAAAGATCCTTCAATGTGCTGATAATTACGGAGGGCACAGTCGTGGTCAAAAGTTTTGAGAATGACACAAATACTAATTTTCACAAAGTCTGCTGCCTCAGTTTTGATGATGGCAATTTACAGTGGGGAAAAAAAGTATTTAGTCAGCCACCAATTGTGCAAGTTCTCCCACTTAAAAAGATGAGAGAGGCCTGTAATTTTCATCATACGTACACGTCAACTATGACTGACAAAATGAGAATTTTTTTTCCAGAAAATCACATTGTAGGATTTTTAATGAATTTATTTGCAAATTATGGTGGAAAATAAGTATTTGGTCAATAACAAAAGTTTCTCAATACTTTGTTATATACCCTTTGTTGGCAATGACACAGGTCAAACGTTTTCTGTAAGTCTTCACAAGGTTTTCACACACTGTTGCTGGTATTTTGGCCCATTCCTCCATGCAGATCTCCTCTAGAGCGGTGATGTTTTGGGGCTGTCGCTGGGCAACACAGACTTTCAACTCCCTCCAAAGATTTTCTATGGGGTTGAGATCTGGAGACTGGCTAGGCCACTCCAGGACCTTGAAATGCTTCTTACGAAGCCACTCCTTCGTTGCCCGGGCGGTGTGTTTGGGATCATTGTCATGCTGAAAGACCCAGCCACGTTTCATCTTCAATGCCCTTGAGGATGGAAGGAGGTTTTCACTCAAAATCTCACGATACATGGCCCCATTCATTCTTTCCTTTACACGGATCAGTCGTCCTGGTCCCTTTGCAGAAAAACATCCCCAAAGCATGATGTTTCCGCCCCCATGCTTCACAGTAGGTATGGTGTTCTTTGGATGCAACTCAGCATTCTTTGTCCTCCAAACACGACGAGTTGAGTTTTTACCAAAAAGTTCTATTTTGGTTTCATCTGACCATATGACATTCTCCCAATCCTCTTCTGGATCATCCAAATGCACTCCAGCAAACTTCAGATGGGCCTGGACATGTACTGGCTTAAGCAGGGGGACACGTCTGGCACTGCAGGATTTGAGTCCCTGGCGGCGTAGTGTGTTACTGATGGTAGGCTTTGTTACTTTGGTCCCAGCTCTCTGCAGGTCATTCACTAGGTCCCCCCATGTGGTTCTGGGATTTTTGCTCACCGTTCTTGTGATCATTTTGACCCCACGGGGTGAGATCTTGCGTGGAGCCCCAGATCGAGGGAGATTATCAGTGGTCTTGTATGTCTTCCATTTCCTAATAATTGCTCCCACAGTTGATTTCTTCAAACCAAGCTGCTTACCTATTGCAGATTCAGTCTTCCCAGCCTGGTGCAGGTCTACAATTTTGTTTCTGGTGTCCTTTGACAGCTCTTTGGTCTTGGCCATAGTGGAGTTTGGAGTGTGACTGTTTGAGGTTGTGGACAGGTGTCTTTTATACTGATAACAAGTTCAAACAGGTGCCATTAATACAGGTAACGAGTGGAGTACAGAGGAGCCTCTTAAAGAAGAAGTTACAGGTCTGCGAGAGCCAGAAATCTGGCTTGTTTGTAGGTGACCAAATACATATTTTCCACCATAATATGCAAATAAATTCATTAAAAATCCTACAATGTGATTTTCTGGAAAAAAAAGCTCAATTTGTCTGTCATAGTTGACGTGTACCTATGATGAAAATTACAGGCCTCTCTCATCTTTTTAAGTGGGAGAACTTGCACAATTGGTGGCTGACTAAATACTTTTTTCCCCACTGTACATATATTCCAGAATGTCATGAAGAGTGATTAGATGAATTTCAATTCATTGTAAAGTCCTCTTTGCCATGAAAAGACTTAATCCCCAACAAACAATTTCCCACTGGGCAATTTCAGCCCTCTTGCCACAAAGGGCCAGCCTGCCATCATGTCGTGATTCCTCTCGTTAACACAGGTGAGAGTGTTTGACGAGGACAAGGCTGCGGAGAATAACCTGTCAATGCTGATTGAGTTAGAATAACAGACTGGAAGCTTTTAAAGGAGGGGGGTGCTTGAAATCATTGTTCTTCCTCTGTTAACCATGGTTACCTGCAAGGAAACACGTGCCGTCATCATTTCTTTGCACAAAAAGTGCTTCACAAGCAAGGATATTGCTGCCAGTAAGATTGCACCTAAATCAACCATTTATCGGATCATCAAGAACTTCAAGGAGAGAGGTTCAATTGTTGTGAAGAAGGGCGCCCAAGAAAGTTCAGCAAGCGCCAGGACCGTCTCCTAAAGTTGATTCAGCTGCGGGATCGGGGCACCACCAGTGCAGAGCTTGCTCAGGAATGGCAGCAGGCAGGTGAGAGTGCAACTGCACGCACAGTGAGGCAAATACTTTTGGAGGATGGCCTGGTGTCAAGTAGGGCAGCAAAGAAGCCACTTCTCTCCAGGAAAAACATCAAGGACAGACTGATATTCTGCGAAAGGTACAGGGATTGGACTGCTGAGGACTGGGGTAAAGTCATTTTCTCTGATGAATCCCCTTTCCGATTGTTTGGGGCATCCAGAAAACACCTTGTCCGGAGAAGACAAGATGAGCGCTACTATCAGTCCTGTGTCATGCCAACAGTAAAGCATCCTGAGACCATTCATGTGTGGGGTTGCTTCTCAGCCAAGGGAGTGGGCTCACTCACAATTTTGCCTAAGAACACAGCCATGAATAAAGAATGGTACCAACACATCCTCCAAGAGAAACTTCTCCCAACCATCCAATAACAGTTTGGTGACAACCAATGCCTTTTCCAGCATGATGGAGCACCTTGCCATAAGGCAAATGTGATAACTAAGTGGCTCTGGGAACAAAACATCGACATTTTGGGTCCACGGCCAGGAAACTCCCCAGACCTTAATCCCATTGAGAACTTGTGGTCGATCCTCAAGAGGCGGGTGGACAAACAAAAACCCACAAATTCTGACAAACTCCAAGCATTGATTATGCAAGAATGGGCTGCCACCAGTCAGGATGTGGCCCAGAAGTTAATTGACAGCATGCCAGGGCGGATTGCAGAGGTCTTGAAAAAGAAGGGTCAACACTGCAAATATTGACTCTTGGCATCAACTTAATGTAATTGTCAATAAAAGCCTTTGACACTTATGGAACACCTTTAATTATACTTCAGTACACCATAGTAACATCTGACAAAAATATCTCATAACACTGAAGCAGCGAACTTTGTGAAGACCAATACTTGTGTCATTCTCAAAACTTTTGACCACGACTGTATATGGTAGCATAGCTTTGAGATGGTTTATGAAATACTTTTGACTCAATGCCTGAAAGTTGTGTTCTCAATATTATGTTGCAGGTTCTTTATTTGTTTCAAACTGTGTATTTTTCTCAGCTGATTATGTGGCAGAAAAAAAGCATTTGATCCATTTATCCTCCGTCTTTATTGTATCAGAGAGCTAAGAGAACATTTATATTATTTAAAAAATATACAGTGCATTCAGAAAGTATTCCGACCCCTTGACTTTTTCCACATTTTGTTAAGTTGCAGCCTTATTCTAAAATGGATGTAATAAAAACAAATCCTCATCAATCTACACACAATACCCCATAATGACAAAGTGAAAACAGGTTTTTACAAATTTAAAAAAACCAGAAATACCTTATTTACATAAGTATTCAGACCCTTTTCTATGACACTTGAAATTGAGCTCAGGTGCATCATTGATCATCCTTGAGATTATTCTACAACTTGATTGGAGTCCACCTGTGGTAAATTACATTGATTGGACATGATTTGGAAAGGC